AGGACCCGAGGGCCAGAAGAGCCCCAGGGACTTCCGTGAGAACTTGAACCAGGCACCAGAGTGACTTCCAGCGGTAAGATCAACGTTGGCCACGGCAAGGGAAGCGAAGGCATCAAGCGGCTTGTCTCCCGTGAGCGGAGGCTCCCCGGCAAGGCAGGTGACCGGAATCCTCACCGTCAGCTGCAGCTGACAATCCCACCTGTGCTCGTGCCCACGGGAAACTGACCGCCGCTTCGGTTTCTGCCCCACAACCACCTTCCGACTGCTGACTTCCAGAGCGTACGCGTTCCCAGACCTTACCGCCAACCGATTTAATCTAGGTTTTGCGATGCTGTTCAGATCTCGCCCGCGATATATTTAATATGTGATTCTTGGAAGTCTTTAGCAACCACGGTGACTCTCCGGTCACCACACTGCGGCACCGCTGAACCCTCCAGCGACCGCACAAGCACTCAGGCGGCGGCCCGGCCAGAGACCAAACGGGGCCGCCAAGGCCTCTCGGTCCGGAGACCGGCTCGCGGGGTGCGGGGGACAGAGGGGCGTCTTCGGTAGCATTGCCGGGAGGGGACAGCAAAGCCGCACGTGGGACAGCCGCAGGAGGAACGATCCAACGACCTCACAAATAAATGGCGACAAGGAAAGACGAGGGAGAGACCTTCACAGACACTGGAGTGACGTGGCCCTCCTGTGAAGGACGGGCCTTATGAGGACGCGGACTCAAACCGCTAAAGCAAGCGGCGCCCAGGGGAACACACGACGACACCCGGGCAGGTGTCAGCGCTCACCGGCCATCGGCTGAGATTACGGAACGCTGCCAGTGCCTTGGGAGCAGTGGCGGCACTGTGGTTAGGACTTCCGGAGCCCTATTCCGATGAGATGGCTTCCTGGGAGGTGCGGGGGCCTGGGGGCGCATCACACGATTTGTGTTTATGTACGTCTCAGGCTCCCCTGATAAAAAGTTAAAGGAAACCCTCCGTTTTACTGAAGAACTGCCATGTCCCTTGTGGCAAGCAGAGCGAAGGCTTTCTTACAGAAATCTAGCAGGGAGCACGGTCCGCAGGCGGGAACGTGAGCGTGTCCTCCACCGGAAGGGGGAGTGCTCACTGCCACGCGCTCGCTGGCCGTCGGCCCTGACACCGAGCGCGGATTTAAGAGCCCGGCAGTCCCGCTCATCACGGGGCTCACCACGTGCTCCCCAACTCTGGGTCGCAGGTTCTCGGGTGGGGACTGTACTCACCAGCTGGCCGATCCGGTCCAAGTTATCCAGAAAGTACTTCACGGATTCACCCTGTCGCGGAGGAAGAACACACGTGAGTCAGCACCGGTTGCGAACCCTGATTTGGCAACTAGACGGTCATGACAGAGTCACATGAGTGTTACTTCCCCTGTACGAATACGAAGGTGGCGGGGAGACCCCGAGTGCACGGGCGTCTTTACACATTCAAAACACAACTGAACTTAAATGCGGTTTCTCTCGCCGAGACCCCAACATTCAAATTCAGACTGTTTTCAAATCACTCCCGCTGGACTCTGGGGACGGGAGCGTGCTGGCCCCTCTGACCAGCCAATCCCTTCCTTGCCACGGGCGAACACTGGATGCTCCAGAGCCAGAGCCTACGTTCCCGGGAGTAGTCTGTGCCGACGGAGGTGGCCTGAGGCGCCCCAGACGTCTTCAGACAGGGTGACTCTTGAAGAGAACAGGTGCGGCACAAAATGCTTTCCAGCTTCCGGAAACAGGCCTAAAACTCCACTGCTGCTCGCCATGCTCGTACGACCTGACGCACAGCCTGGGATGAGGAGGACCTTCGGTCCGGATGTTCGTGGAGGAGCGGGGACCCCTTCACTCTTGGACGTGCTGCGGACTGCAGGCCAGCGCAGACAGACGGACACCGTTCTCCAGCTCCCGGCACACCCTGGGGCCTCCCACGCTCTGTTTCAGAAGTGTTTAGAGGCCACGCCGAACAGAGGAAGGGCAGTCTTCCCCCAGGAAGCGGGATGTAGGAAACGCATCACGTCCCACACACTTGAGGGGCATGGCTTTCCACGGGCTTCGGCTACAGCCTCCCCACGGTGGACAGGCCACCAGGACGGTGCTGGGTCACACACGCTCCCTCACACGGGCCCGGGGAGGGTCACCTGGGGAAGCCCAGCTCAGCCTACGTTCTGCACAGGCGTGTGGAAGTGGATGGCCACACCCACGCAGCAGGTGGCCGATCCAGGAAAGACCACCAGACAGGCTGGCACCACGGCGTGAGCCTGTGACTTTATGGAAGAAAGGAAAGAAAGAAGACGAAAATGACAGGAGCGGCCAGCTCCTGATCTGAGCCTCTCCCCACCGTCTCCCCAGGGAGGGCACCGAGGACTCCGTTTCCTTTAGGGGGAACCAGCCTTCCCGTTGCACAGCAGCGGCCTCTCGGAGAACGCAGAAGAGTGCGTGCTGTAAGGGGACGGGAGCACGCGTTACACGCAGCACACAGCTTAGGGTCAGCATTCGCAGTTTTCCTCCTCAGGTCAGGGTGTGGCCGGAGCGCGGTCTGCTCTCTGCTCTAGGGACATATACACCTGGAGCTCCAGGAAGGAGACTCACTCCCCGACACCCCGGCCTCAGGCCTCTGTCCCCCATCGACCCCAGCCTGGGTGCGGGGACAGCTGTCACCGCAGAGCGGGGCGGCCGGTCCACACATCCCGCCGCCTCCCCTGCGGGACGGGAAGCAGCTGGTCAGTGAAGGGGCCGCGGCCACAGACCGCAAACCCACCTGATTCATGACCGCTCCTTTGCTCACCCCAAACCCGTGTGTCTTGCCCCCGCTGCCCCCCGACTCAGGGTTGCCGGATGTGCAAGGAGAGCCTATGAAGACTCAGCACCGCGTCTGCACCCGCCTGCCACCGTGACTTTGCACCGGGAGCGGGGGTCCTGGGGTGGTTGGGCAGAGGGTCACGGCAATGCAGATGTCCCGGCCAACATTCTGTCGTTGCGGCACAAGTGTCTTGGGGAGACCCTGGGACATAGGTGATCAGCCCGACGGCACAGGAGGGAAAGGAAGAGGCCCCAGGGGACACACGAACGGGTCAGTATATTTAAAACCTGAGAAGGTGTGTCTCCCACGTCTGGGTGGAGAAATCGCCCGTGAGCTTGAACTCGGGGCCACCCCACCTGCACGCCAACGTTAAGGGACGCGGACCATCACCGCTTCTCCCTCTGCCGCGTGCCTCCCTCCTCCCACTCCTTCCAAGACGCAAGGTGTATCTGGGGCTCTGCCGCTCCGCAGGGTCGGGCACCCGCACGCTTTCGGGGGAGGGCCGCACGCGAGAGGGGGAGTCGGGGTCAGCTGGACCCGCGTCTCAGTGGGGGCCGGAGGGTCCACAGAGCTCTGTCGGGGGCCGAGAGGCCAGCAGGGAACGGGAGAATCGGCTCGTTCGAACCGGCAAGGAGCCACTCCGCCAGGCTGAGCGGGAGCCCAGGTGTGGACCCTGGGGTTTTACCGGCAGAGACTGACGTGTGCGCCACGGGACTCGACACGCAGCCCACAGAACAGTCGTCTGCACGGGCCTCGCGGCTCCCAGAGCACCAGCTCAGGAAGACGCCCAGGTTTAACTTCTGACAGATTTCCAACTCTACGGGGAAGCAGTCAGGCCTTCGGAGAAGCGGCACGCGGCGGGAGCGGAGGTGCTACCGTGGACTTAGCCACTCAGAACCTCAGACTGTGCCCCCCACCCCACCATACGCATGCAGAAATCTACGCCCCAGTGTCAAGGTATCGGGCGGTGGGGTTTCGCGGGTGCGTTGGTCCCGGTGCGTGGTCAGGGTGGAGCCCCCGGAGCACATGCTCCTGCACCAACCGGGGGGGGGGGGGGGGTCTCACCACAAACCGAATCTGCTGGTGCCTTCATCTTGGGCTTTCCAGCGTCTGGATTATTTCTCACAGACCCAAGGCTACGTATACTTGCTACCAAAGCCTAGACGGGCACAGACGATGCCTTTACAAAAAGAGAGCATCACGCGAGGCAAAACGGTGCTGGGGTCCTCTCGATGGCCACTGCAGTAACACGGTCAGGCAAGAAAAGAACATGACAACTTACGGGCTTTCCGGAACTCTTCATGGTCTGCAAATCTGAGTCTCTTCGTTAGTGACGGCACGGATTCACGGATTCCATACAACAACATAAATTAGTTGTGCTCAGAGGCAACCAGGCATACATCTGACATCAGCCTGCCTTCCTGACCCAACTCCCAGCAAAATGTGCATTAAAAAAGTTTTTTTAAAATCTCACAGAGAGAGTGAGAGAGAATGAGGAGAGAGGAGCAGAGGGAGGGAGGGAGTATGAGCAGGGCAGAGGGGCAGAGGGAGGGAGAGACAATCCCCAGGCGGCTCCACACTCAGCACAGAGCCCAACTCGGGGCTGCACCCCACAACCCCGGGATCACCACCTGAGCCAAAATTGAGAGTTGGACGCTCAACCAATCGAACCACCCAGGCACCCCAAAATGTGCACTTTTATTAGCAGCCGCTGG